GGAAGGAAGGAAGGAAGGAAGGAAGGATCATTAATGATATTAGCTAATTGGTTTATGAAATGAGCAGCAAGGGAGGGGAGGGAGAGGATATCCCCCCCCCATAGCTCTGCTGATGCTGGATGAGAAAAGGAAGGAAGGAAGGAAGGAAGGAAGGAGGGAGGGAGCTAATCGGAAGGAGAAATGAGTGGAAGACCCCCACACACAGCGCACCAGAGGTACCCTTTCTGCCCCCACCCCCCCACGACAGAGTCATGCTCAAACAGAAGCCATCTCAATGTGACCACATAGGAACCATGGACACGTTTTCGCGCGCGCGCGCACACGGCTGACACACACACGTGAAAGCCACACACACACACACACACACACACACACACACACACACACACACGTGCGCACGCCGGGCAAGGGATGCTGCCCAGCAGCCTGAGAATGGCTCCTTCGCCCGGCTTTGCAACCCGCCCCCCCCAAGCACCCTCAAGGCTGCAGCGTCTTTTCCCCCAGGGGAAAAGATGGGAGTTGTAGTCCTCGCGCCCCGCGAGCTATTGGAAGGAAAGAAGACCCACCAGCCCCCCCCAACCCCCAGTTCCCCCCCAAAAAAACCCACATGGCCTAGGCGTGGAATGGGGGGGCAAGAGAACCGGAGTCCTCCTCCCTGGAAGAGGCTGCAGCCCAAACCTCTCCTGGCCGGGGAAGGCATGCAGAGCGCTGCCAGCTTCCCACCCGCCCCCCCGCCGGCATCTCCCCGCCGCGCAGGCGGATGGGCTTTGTAGTCCCCCCGCCCCTGCAACCCTTTTGGGCCGGCTGCCTCTTCCCCGGGGGAGGGGGAGACGGGGAGGGCCATGGGCTTCTCCAGGCGAGGGTCCTGCGGCCCCTTCCTTGCCTCACGCCCCCCACCAGCCCCCCGCTCACCTCCCCCGCCCCAATGGCTCACCAGCTTCAGGTCGAGCACGCCGTCCTTGGCCTCCTGCAGCAGCGAGACGAACTTGGTGGTGAGCAGCCCCAGGCTCTTCTCGTGCCGGCTGGGCGCGCCGCCCGGCGGCTGCGGTCCGGACTCCGCCATCCGGACGGCTCACACCTGCCGCCGCCGCCGCCGCCGGTGTGCGGATCCCCGCGCTCGCTCCGCCGCGGCGCCCCCTCCTCCACTCCGCCGCCGCCGCCGCCGCCGCTTCCGGCCGCCGCGGGGCATGACGGGAGGGGGAGGAGCCAGCTCCATCTTGAGGAGAAAGGGCGGGCCTTCCCCGCCGTCTTTTTCTCCAAGCCCCGCCCCCCCGCCCGATCGGCTTTCCTTGTGCGGCGTTCTCTCTCTCTCTCTCTCTCTCTCTCTCTCTCTGTGTGTGTATAGCGACGCCTACTGGCCAGGAGACGAACAGACTCGGGGGAGCCCCAACCTTTTTGCAATTCTTGGTCGCAGAGAGAACTAGGGCAAAGTTCCCATCATCCTCAGCCCAGCGCGGTTGCTTGGCACTACAGTTCTCATCATCCCTTCCCCTCCCCAAGCCGGCATAGCTAAAGGCCTTGGGGACTGCAAAGCTTGAAGCCGAAAAGGCTTGGTGAAAAAAAAACAAGATAATAATTCAATTAATACAAATAATACAATTAATACAAAAGCAATAATAGTTGTAAATAAAACAATAAATGCAATATATAACACTAATGTAGTGGTTAAGACATCAGGATAGAACCCAGCAGCCCATAGTTCTAGTGCTGTTTTAAGCACAGCTAGGTGACCTTCAGCCTCCCCTAACACTCTTGTTTAACCTTTGCAAAGTTCCTGCCTTTTTTACCAAGACACCAGATAGATGTCCCATGCATTTTAGTAGATATAAGTCGAGAATGCTTTTTTTTCTTCTCAGAATAATGGAATCAACCCGAATAAATAAAGCTCCAAAACAGAACCTCAAGGATAGATGAATTATCTCGGTGAAGCCCTTTCTACATAGTTGGGGATACCTGGATTATTTTCCAGACCGTTCTTATATTTCAAAACACTGCTTCCCACCCTGAAATGCAACACACAAATAATTAGTTTGTGAATTGTTGTGCCTTAGAGTTATCTGGGAATGACTTTCAGACGGCAACTGAGTTGCACTGCTACCTAGTAGTCAGATAACCAGGCCTCCCATAGCTTTGAACTATTGATCTTCAGGTCAGCCAGAAGCAACTAATGTCTGAGAACATTGATAATGGGAAACAACATGCATACTAACGAAGAGTGGGTGTGTGTGAGAGAGAGAGACACACACACACAGAGACAGACAGACAGAAATACACACACAAACAAACAAACACATACACACACAGAGACACTTTTTGGGATAACTGAAACTGCCAAACTCCAAAGACAGCGTTCTCTGCTGTGATGCAAATGCATTCAGGGAATAAGACATTGGATTTGTAAGATATTGCTATGTTTTTAGAAATCTCTTTGGGAAAAGTATTATTGCTATGTAATAGTTGCATCTAAAGTATCACTTCTGTCCTGTTTATTTTTACAACCTTAGGGATACATAGAATGTGGGAACAAATATATTGTGTGCTTATTCCTGGAAAAAGTAGGCATACATAAGAGATAGTTTCTACATTGGGCTAAACTTGGCAATGTAATTGACCACTCTGCCCTTGTAATTCACTGATGCTGTTACATTTTTAACATCTTTGGTTCAAAATCTACTGTGATTTATCCCTGGGGGATTTTTTCAGAAATGAACATGAATAAAAAAAATTTCAAGAATGGAAAGAAGGACACCAACATGGTTTTAAGGAACATATAATTATTCTGTCTGAGAAGAAAGAAACATATTTGACTGATTTGGTAATAAATGTCCCTTGTCTTGATTTTTAAAAGGGACAAAATTTGCACATCTATGGAGATTATCAGTCATCCAGGTCATAATTGTCTCAATGGTGCTTTTTCAAAAAGGCAACTGGAACTTTTTTTTCCTGGAGGAGGAAGATGAAAACATTTCACTTCTCATCCACGAAGCTGAATAGAATGGAATGGAATAAAGAATAGAAGGGGAGGGGAGAGAAGAGAAGAGGAGAGGAGAGGAGAAGGGAAGAGAGGAGAGGAGAAGGGAAGGGAATAGAAGAGAGGGGAAGGGAAAGGAATAGAAGAGAAGGGGAGAGGAGAGGAGAAGAGAAGGGAAGGGAATAGAAGAGAAGAGGAGAAGAGAAGGGAAGGGAATAGAAGAGAGGGGAAGGGAATAGAAGAGAGGGGAAGGGAAGAGGAGAGGAGAAGGGAATGGAATAGAAGAGAAGAGGAGAAGAGAAGGGAATAGAAGAGAAGAGGAGAGAAGGGAAGGGAATAGGAGAGGAGAAGGAAAGGGAAGAAAAGAAAGGAAAGGGGAGGGGAGGGGAAAGGAGAGGAGAATACATAACAGAGGTACAAATGACAGACTCAAAGATTCATCGCTTGAATCCTCAGGTCCATAATGATGAAGCTTCTTGGATGAGAAGCAAAATGTCATCTTCTTTTTCTTCCTCCAGGAAAAAAAAAACAGCCCAGTTTCCCTTTTTGAAAAAGCACCTTGGAGGAAATTTACGTTCCCCCCCCCACCTATTGATGCATCAGGTCAGCTCCAGAGTTGCCATAGTCCAACACCCAAATCTCCCGAGTAATGCATTAGTTGACTTGAATGTTTAGAAATCAAACACAAACATTCACGAAGGAACTGCATCTGCAGGCAGAGCAGAATAAGAAAGATCTCTGGATCCTGGCCAAGAGGACGCACGGATTCTTCCTGTGGTCAAAAGCCAGCAGCATCATTGATACGCTGAGCTGTTTTGTGCTGTTTCATCTGCATGCCCAAAGAATGAAACTGACCGGTAGATTAGCTGTTTCTCCCTCCCCCCCCCCCCCCCCCCCCCCCCCGCCGCCTTCCTATTCTGACATCCTGAGTGTTTCTGCTTCAGTGCTACAGAGCAAACCCAGCCCCAAGGAATATTAACTGACGGAAACGCTATTCACTGGCTCGCCTTCCTCTGCTCGGCCAGGTCCAGTCCTCAGCACTGAACCAGGGGGATCCTGCTGCCACTGAAGCCATGGGGATGTCTGCAGAGGACAGCGTTTCCACCCATCCCAGAGGTAACAATCGACAAATGAAGGTTGGGGATTTTCTATATAGGGGCAGAAGCATGGGATATGTAACTCTCTCTACTGAGCAACAGCCCAATACGTAAGTCAACTACTTACGTCGATCTGTCTCTTTCTTCCTTTGACGTTTTCCACAGCAGTCACAGCCAAAGAATAATTTTACTTGCTACGGGAGGTGGGGGACGCAGGAACCCAATTCCCAAACTTTTGTGGTTGGAGCCAGGACCAAACTGGAATCTGGTTTATATTGGAACAGAAAGTTCAAGCTACTTTAATTTGGCGGCGTTCCACAAATCCCCTTCCATCTCTCACTTTTTTAAAAAAAACGTTGGTTTAGGGACAACTCGGATTTTTGCAAGCCTTGATCAGAGTGTGTCACCCCGAGGGATTGACACCAGGTCTTCTCATTTCATTCTGTTTGGGGACCAACTGGGCTGAGCGGTTTTGGGAGGCTGCGTTTTCGTTGCCTTCTTACTATATATAGTGGGAATAGCAGAATTGAAGCTATTCCCACTATATATAGTAAGAAGGCAACGAAAACGCAGCCTCCCAAAACCGCTTACTTTTTCCCTCAAAGCCCCCTAAAAACCCAGCCTCCTCTGTGTAGCAAGGGAGGGATCTTTCATGTTTCAAGGCTGAGGAACCCAGAGCCGATGGTTCACCAGCTGCAGAGTTATGCGTTTCATTTCCTGTTTCCTTCCTGCATCCTTCGATGAAGCATTCCTGCCTGGTTAAAAACACACACCGCCTGGAATTTTACATCCTTTAATTGTTGTTGTCTTAGTGGGAAAATGGCCAGAATTGGAAAAAGCAGAGAAGCTGGCAAGAGGGGCTGCCTTGAAGTGGGCATCTGGGGTGTTTTATCAACCAGACAAGCTGGATAGTCTTCCACAGTACCAGATTCGGGAGATGCAGCGTAACAGGTTCATCGAATCCCGCATAAAGGTACGCAAGCATGGCAGGTAATTTCAATTACCTGATCTTGAAGGTCCTTGGTGCTCTCTGAGCTTGGTTGTTTTCTTGCAGATGTTTCATTACCCATCTAGGTAACACCATCAGTGCTAGAAGGGAGTGGGGTTTGCACTCTGTTCATATACAACCGGATTGCTCTGCCAGTGTTGGTGGAAGTATTCTGGATAGTTCCTTTATTAGGCTGTTGTTTACAGTCTGATTGGGTTTTTTTTGAGTTGGTAGTTCCTAGACTACCAGAATCTTGGACCAAGAGTATTGGAAGAAGGCATCGGGTCCAACCCTCTGCTAAATTAAAACACAGATGCATTATAACACACTACAAAATGGGCAGAGTTCAAGACACAACAGCACAATATTGCTTTTGACTGACCCCGCCCACACATGTCTCTATTAACCCATCCCCAACAGATGACTGTCCAGCCTCTGCTTGTACTCATCCAGAGAATGAAATTTCAGTCATTTTCCCCAACCTTCATTGCTTCTACTCTCAAACTGTTTTTAACTATCAGGAAGTTTTCTTAACAGTCAACCCAAGCCTGCTGTCCTGTAACAAGAGTTTTATCCCATGTCTTCCCCTCCAGAATAAGTTTCAATCTTTTCTGGTGTGATTTCTAGAGTTATTTGACAAGCTCTGTAGGGAGTCCTCGTTTAGTGACCATAACGCTGCAGGGGGTCCTTGTTTAATCCTCATTTAGTGACCATACTTAGGGCAACTCGGTTGCTAAATAAAGTGGCTGCTAAAAGAAACCACAATTGACTTTATTTATGATCTTAATTTAACTCTTCCCTGGTTTGTGAAGGTTGCAAATGTGAGGATTAATCACAAGATTATTTTTAAATCACCAACAGCAAAGAGTTGATAAATGAGGCAATTGCTAAATAAGAACTGTCTGTATTGAGTTTGAGTTTTATTTTCTTTCAGGCTAAGAATAGCTTGTTCCTTCAGTCTTTCCAGTTGCAATTAATTTATGTTCCAATTAAATCATATTTCTTGCCTTTTTTGGAACAAACCTGTTCCAGTTTGTTTCTGGCTTGTTTGA